GAGTCTCACTCTTTTGCCGGGGCTAGAGTGCCATGGCATCAGCCTAGCTCACAGCAACCTCAAACTCCTGGGCTCAAGCGATCCTACTGCCTCAGCCTCCTGAGAAGTTGGGACTACAGGCATGCGCCACCATGCCCGGTTAATTTTTTCTATATAGTTTTAGTTGTCTGATTAATTTCTTTCTATTTTTAGTAGCTTAACATTTTAATTGCAGTAAAAGTAATAATAAAATAGAAAAAGAATAGCATTTATGTAGTTCAAAGAGAAAATGCAGAATTCTGTGTTTCTAAGACCTGTTGACCCGTATTAGGTTTACAGCATGTCCAGAAATTAGACATCTTCTCATTTCTATCCCCACTGTATTATATTGAAGGCAAAGCTGAAGCTCGAAAATTTATAAGGCAACATTTTATCTATGATACAGGAGTGACTCACCACATTTCTACAAGTTACAAATAGAATATGGGTTTCCTACTTCCTCCGAAATGTTTGTGTGGTTATCAAAGTGGAAGCCTTCACATAAGGACTCCCAATTGAGCTCTAAATAGAACTTTCGAGCAATACAATCAATCATTGCCTTTCCTACCTTCCGAAGGGAAAGCCCAAGTTAGCCAGTGCAGCACAATTCATCGGAAGCTCCAATGTGAATGGTGTTTGAGGACCTAAGAGACTCCACTCCTGACAGAAATGTTTGTTTCCAGCTTGGGCTCTGGGTATTTCTGAACCACCACATGCACATGGCCGGAGTGAGTACCTGTGCTGACTGAAATTATGTGGAAAACCTTCACATCTGACACAAAACTCGAGCTTTAGAAATTGTCAGTCCCTGGAGTGTCAGCAGATAAGAGGATGCCAAGGGAAGCAGGCAATCTGGGACAGGAGCCACCATGGGCTCTGTTTCCCCAAATTTAATGACAAATTTCAATCTAGATCTAACCAGATCAGTGGAAACGGGCTGTAGGTTTTTGCTCTTTCTGTTCGGGCCTGATTAAGATCTGGCCTTTGGTCTGTTTTTCTAACATATACCAAGTAGCTGTCACATCCAACATCTTGCTGCACAGACACTGAGCTTTCAACATTGAAGTATAATCTCAGGCCCAGGGAGATGTTAGTGGAGATCGTTTTTGTGCGGTGGTCCCAGGAGCGCCCTGTACTCTCCAGCTTTGACTACGAGGGAGAAACAAATGTCAGAGTAAATGGCAATGACCTGACGGGGACCCATCCTTAACAGCAGAGAAAGGCGCTGTGGTGAAGACTTGTTATAATAGGCTGTTTAATTTCGTTTGGAGAAACTGGACTTTTGACAGATGAACTTCTTTTCCCTTGGATTCATATTTATCTAACAGAGTTGTGGTTGGGAAATTATCCAGGATTCACAAGGTCAAAAAGTGACCTGGTTCACATACTGTAGACTCTTCCCATCTCACTCCGCAGCTTCCCCAGGCAGGTGGTCTGGTGGGCCGTCCGTACGTCCACTCCAAAAATGATCACCCAAGGGACATATCAACCTCCTGGGCTTGGCCCTTAGAGCTTCTGGCAGTCCCATCAAACTCAGGTTTCAGTTCCGGATAATCAACTTTCCCCTTCCCTGTTGCACTCCAAAGCTTGAAATCGTTCCAATGTGCCCGATGAATGAACATCTTGTTATAATGCATTGGGAATTGAGGCCATTAGTGAAATTACAAAAAATAATACATTGGATTTTTGTAATACCTTTTTTCAAGACCATCCAGTCTTTCTTCCATTATCCCAAGAGTGAAAGAATAAAGGAATGTTGCATAAACATGCTTAGCCTTATCTTTGAAATTAAAAAAAAAAATCGATTTTATAAAACGGATTATAAAGAAGTATTTCCTCCTTCCCCCCAGTCCCCTGGTTCCCCGGTGTATAAATAAGACAATTTTCCCTGCCTGATACTCAGCCTTTGTGTTCTGTCGTCTGTGGTTTTGTTTTTATTCACATACTTATGGCTCAATATCGAAGATAATCTTAGTAGACATGAAACTAGCGCCTTTGTCTCACCTGCTCACTTTTCCCCCATCCTGGGTAGGCCTGCGCATACAGACTTCCCTGGGAACAATTTTGCTTTCTAATAACTCGCATAAAGCTCTGCAGTGTCTCCGCGATTAAGAAGGCGAGTGCTAGGGTGCGACTGTTAGACTCACCATTTTCCCTCTCTTGTATGTTTCAGAAATTGAAGCGAAGGAAGCATGTGACTGGCTCCGCGCGGCTGGGTTTCCGCAATACGCCCAGTTATATGAAGGTACGCCGGCCCTTCTCTTCGCTCTTACAAGAGAATAAATTCATAACAAATCTCATGTCTCCTATAGGGTGTGTTGACTTCCAGGTTTTTGTCTTGACCATCTTGCTTTGCTTTCTTTTTCCCTCAGCCTTTGCAGTGCCCAGGGCTTATCCTGATACCAATTTAGAAACAAGTTTGGCTTCCCAGCCCCATGCTACTTTCTGCTGCCCACTGCTGATTCTCATCTCTTCACCACAGACCCACACCCTCTGTTCTCCTTGCAGTGTTCTGCCATCAGCAGCTTTGCTGAAAGATTCAGTGACTTTTCCAAGGTTATAAGGTGGAGGAGTCAGAACTAAAATCCCAGTCTCTTGATCCTTAATGGTGTATTTTCCACTATAATGTGCCCTGTATTTGTAAACTCAAAATACTATGAGATTTAAACATGAAGAGTCTATAAATGGCTATGAAGTAAAGTTAGCCATATGTATTGAAGAAATGCAACAAGCATAAGAACAAATACTTTATAGAGCTGCGTGGTAGGTACTGTTCAAAGCACTTTATATATACTGTTGATTTAACAATCACGAGACCACCATAAGATAGGTCTTATAATTATCATCATCCCTGTTTTACAGATGAGGAAACAGAGGCCCAAAGAGGTTAAGTGACTTGTGCACAGTTCCACAGCTAGGAAGTGATAGAGCCGGGACTCAAGGCCAGGGCAGACAGGCTTTGGTGTCTGTGTTTCTCCCTTTTACTCACGCTTCCTCACTAGCAGCACAAGACAGTCTTCATCCTGGCACCATCTGGAAGTCACTCACATTACTGTTTTCATCAGAAGGGCAATTTTTTTCTATTTCCAACTCTCACTCAGATTTAGATACCCTAACATTTATCTCGACTGGCAAGGTGTAGGTGGTACAAAATATAAGACGAAAAAGAGAAAAAAGTGCCAAGATAATGATAATGAGCCAACATTGTAATATTTGACCTTGGCCTCTATTCCAGTGATCTCCAGATTGTTATCTCCGTGAGTGAGGTACCCAAAATTAACACCATGTTCTGAATATTGCCTGTGACCTTCAAAGTTGGCAGGAATAGTCTGGTGGAGAAAAGTTATGGTGTTGGGATTTCTTCTTCTTTTTGGATGGAATAAGTTGTTTGGGTATTTTACTGATATTCCAAAGTGACTCAAGATTTTGCTACAAAAGAAAACATTTGAGACCATTGAACTTTGGGTATTTTTGAAATTTTCTTTTTGAAGGAAAAAAAATCTGCTAAACTTAGTATTTCATAAAATCATCAGAATAGAGGTCAGTGACCTACACCTTGGGTGGATGGCAAGAGTGTAAACGCTCTTCCCCAAGTCCACATCAGCCAGTGACTGTGATGAGGATGAGCTATAATAACGCAAGCACTTAGTATTCAATCCTGTTAAGGTCAAGTGCTTGATCTCATGTTTCACACTTATGTTGTACTCTTAAAAGCATTCATTGTGATTAAAATTGTCTGCTCTCTTAAACGTTACCAACAATGGTGATGGGCAGTAACTGCTATTAAAATCAGTGGCTTGCACAGACCATGATGGCCTGAATATGTTGGTGTCCATTTGGATAAAACAAGGTGCATAAACCTTTTCATCCCTCTCTTTCTCTTTCAGATTCACAATTTCCTATCAACATTGTGGCTGTCAAGAACGATCATGATTTTCTTGAAAAGGACCTTGTAGAACCTCTTTACAGGTAAGTCATGTGAGGTATTTTTGTTTCTTTTCATTGTTCAGTCTCCAATAGGTATCACTGTATTGAGGGGCTATTTCTACAATTCAGTCAGTATTTACTGAGTGCATACTATGTGCCAGACATGGGTCCAAGTTCTAAGTGTACTATAGCAAGCATGATCAGTTTGTGTTTCGATGGAGCTTAAATTCTAGTAGGTGGCTTCAGACAATAGATTAAGGAAAAGAGAGAGTAGAGAGAGAGTGAGTGAGAGAAAGAGAGAGGGAAAGGACATTTCAAAGAAGAGTGTTAATGCTATGCACAAAGTAAAACAAGATGAGGACACAGACAGTGATTGTGGGGCATGAATGGGTTAGTAGGGGAGACAGCATTGGCAGCCACAGCACGTGTGATCAGGGAAGGCTCTGAAAAACTCCATGAGTATGTCGAGCTTGGCTGTGTTTTTTGCAAAGTCGGGTGATTATATCCTCAAACTGAACTACATAAGCTCAAGTAATTGTATCAGCAAGCTGGCATATTTGAGCTTTTGCTATGATAGATGTATGATAGACAAAGATATACACATGAATGATTTTCTTCCCTTAAAATGACATATAGTCCAATTGAAGAAACCTAGCTGAAGAAATGAGGTCTGAATATATGAACAAATAAGTAACAATGACAATTTGGATAGTAATAAAAGATCCAGCAGGATCTATATCCCTGAACAATTAAATGCTGCATGAGAGGTGGTATGTGTCTGTAGGCGTTTGAAGCTTCCTAATGAAAGTCCTGGAGAGAGAGATCAGAGCTGGAGATAAGTATTAGTCATGGGAGATGAGTCATTTTACCAAGGCCATACAGCTAGATAGGGACCAAAATGACCTTAAAATCTAGTCCTTGTAACTTTCAATCCAATACTCTTTCTCGTACATTCTGCATTTGGCATAGAAAGGGTGGCAATTTAAGTGAAAGGTGATGATGAGCAACTTTGTCAACGTAGGCAAGACCGAGGTGTGTTACAATAGTGCATCAATAGTCTCATTTTAGGCTTTCTGGTTCTCAGATGTATATGTTTTTGTGTCTACAAGCTGGTCGTTCTGTGGTTCCTATATGAAGAGAAAATAGATTTGTGTTAAGAAATGATCTCTTAATGTTCAAGAAAACAACACTATGGGTTTGCTTAAGTGGGCAGAAGAGCAAAGAACTTTTCAAATCATAAATTACAGGAACAGGCTATTTGGACAAGAAAATAAACAAGCACAAGATGCTATTTGTGAGAGTTTATGAGATGAATGGATGATTTAGTTGTGATTCTTTAAAGGTAATGGATTGGAAAAGCAATGCCTTCCTCGTCTGCCTGTCTATGATACATGCCAAGCAGGAGCGGATTCCTCCTCCTAAGCATTCATTCCACTCGGAGCTATTCAACCAGTACTTCATCCTGAGTTCACCCTCTTAGTTTTAACCAAGTGTATTTTTTGCTAGTGTCATTTGTTAAAAAGAAATAATTTTTTTAATTGCATTATTATTACATTATCTTTTTCCCATTGAATTTTTAAAATTATGTTTTCTTTAAATTGAAATATAACATACATAAAGTAAAATTCACTGTTTTCAGTGTACAATTCTTAGAGCTTTGACAAGTGCCTACAGCCATGTAACCGTTACCACAGTCAAGATACAGAACAGCTCCATCACCCTCCAAAATGTGCCAGTTCCTCCTATATCTTATATTTAGAACATATAACATATATGTCATCATCAACTTCTACCTCTACTCCCAATCCCTGGAAAGAGCTAATTTTTGTGTGTGTGTACCTATAGTTTTGCCTTTTTCAGAATGTCATACGATTCAAATCGAAAAGTATGTAGCCTTTTTAGTCTGACTTCTTTCACTTGGTATATGTTTAAGATTCATTTATGTTGTTATGTGTTTCAGTAGTTCATTCCTTTCTATTTCTGAGTAGTAGTCTATTGTAAACAGTTTGTTTGTTTATCCATTCACCAATTGAAGGACATTTGGGTTGTTGCCAGTTTGGGTGATTATAAAGCCACTCTGAACAATCATATTCAAGTTTTTGTGCGAGCATAAGTTTTTATTTCTTTTGGATAAAATCCTAGGAATGAGATTGTGGTGTCCATATGATAAGTCTATTTTAACTTTATAAGAAACCACCAGATTTTTCCAGAGTGATGACACCATTTTGTATTCCCACCAACAATATATGGGAAGTTCTAATTGCTCCACATCTTTGTCAGCGCGTGGTATTGTCAGTTTTCATTTTGTTTTGTTTTGTTTTTAGACATTCTAGTAGATGTCCAGTGTTATCTCTTTGTAATTTTAATTTGCATTTTCTTAATGACTATTAATGTTGACCATCTTTTCATGTCTTATTTGCCATCCATATATCTTCTTTTGCAAAGTAGCTGTTCACCTCTTTTGTCTATTTTTAATTGTATTGTTTGTTTTCTTATTGTTGAGTTTTGAGAATTTTTACATGTTCTAGATATACGTCCTTTGTCAAATATGTGTTTCGTAAATATTTTCTGCCAGTCTGTAGCTCATCTTTTCAATCTCTTAACAGTGTCTTTCACAGAACAAAAGTTTTGAATTTTTCTGAAGTCCAATTTATCTATTTTTCCATGCTTTTAATGTCATATCTGAGAAACCTTTGCCTAACATAAGGTCACAACTATTTTATTCTATTGTTTTTCTTCTAGAAGTTTAATATATTTATGTTTTATATTTAGGTCTGTGATTCATTTTGAGTTCATTTTTGTAAAAGGTGCAAGGTATGAGTCAAGATTCATTTTTTGCATAACAATGTCCGATTGTTTCAGTTCCATGTTGAAAATTGTACTGTCTTCATTGAATTGCCTCTGACCATATATGTTTGAGTATATATTTCTAGATTCTCTATTCTGCTTTATTTTTCTCTGTGCCTGTCTTTTCATCAATATGACACCCTCTTGACTACTTAGCTTTAAGTAAATTTTGGAATCCAATGGTGTGAGTCCTTTAATTTGGTTTTTCTTTGCCAGGATTCTTTTGGCTATTCTAGTGCCTCTGCCTTTCCATATAAATTTTAAAAACAACTTGTCAATATTGTCAAGACCTATTTTAAAAACCCTACTAGGGTTTTGATTTGGATTGTGTTGAATCTATGTTTGGGAAGAATTGATATCTTAATAATATTTAGCCTTCATATTAATAAACATAGTATATGTCTCTATTTAGGTCTCCTTTGATTTTTTTCAACAGTAATTTGTAGTTTTCAGCATGTGGATAGTAAAGATTAGTTGTACCTAGGAAGTTCATGATCGTGGTGCTATTGTAAATGGTATAGTTTTTTATCATTTTAATTTCCAGTTGTTCATTGCTAGTATATAATGTTTTTTGGTATATTGCCCTTGTATACTACAGTCTTTCTAAACTCACCCATTTGTTCTAGTAGCTTTGGTTTAGTTTCCTTAGGAATTCATGTCTCAGCTGTTAATGGAAGATTACATTTTTTAAACCAAAACCAAAAATTCTATTACGTATTTTTAAATGGGGATTTCAGGGGCAAACATTGTCTCTAATTGTGCAGCTCTATTCACAGGATGATGTATGTGGCTTAGTGGGCCAAACTTTGACTCTCAGACATGTGGGTGGTAAATCCTTATCTGCTTATGTCTGCATGTGATCTGAGATGCCTTGACTAAGTTATAGTTTGCTTTTCCATCAAAGTCTATGCTTTAATGACAACAAAAAAAAGTCTTTCAGACATATTATAGGAATGAGCCAGTACAATTAATATGAAATCATTTAGAGATATAAAGTTTCTAGTGTCAGAAAAGTCAGGAAGTCTTCTCCTGTAGAGCCCATGAACCATCATGATGCAGCCCATACACACATACCCTGAAAGGCATTACTGCATCGACGTGGGGAAGGGCTCCAATACGAGACACCGCAGCACTCTTGGTAAGAGCCCAGCTTGGGTAAAAATGGTTGGAGTGGCAGAAGGTTGTTGTAAGTGGAATAATTCTTACCGGAGCTATGTCTCCAAAAATATTGTGAAGCAAGAAAAACATGTGGCTGGAGGTGTGTGAACTGAGATTCTCGAGGCGTGGGAGCTGTGGGTAGAACTGAAGCCAAAGGAGTAGTCGCGCCTGGGGTGAATCAAAGGAAGCAGGCGGAGTAGGTAGACAGACAGAGCTGTCTTGGCCAAAAAGTGTGGAATTTTTTTCCCTTCCTTGCAAGTTTCACCAAGACAGAACTACCGATTTGCAAATAGCGGAAAGCAGGCAGAGGGAAGATCTCCAGCCCACGGGGAAGGACAGCACTTTTAAAACTTTGTGATTGATGCGTGGTTCATTAGACACTCGCCCACTCAGATGGGAAGTCATGATTGATGCCAAGAGAGCAGTAGGGGGTTGTGATTTTATTCGTTTTCTTCCTCGTGTGCCGTAGAGCTACAGAGATGGAGCTGGCTCCATTTTATTTTTAAAGCTTCGCAGGCTCTATATTTCACCTACATATTTGAAATGCTGAGCTAATGCAGGTCGTAAGGGGAATCACATCCAGAGGGCAGGTAACTTCTGCCAGGTAGACAAAGGAAGACCAGAGAGCTGAAGAGCTCCTGAAAAATGTCAGCCACCACAAGAATAGTACTCCCCTTTGGTTTTTTGCAAGTGTATCTTTTGTGTAGATAGTTAATGCTCTAGGGCCCAATTTGCTCTCGGAAAGTTGTTAAACACTGTTACCTTTTTTGATTGGTTTGGAAATATATGTTGTATTAAGGATATGGTTGGCAGAAGGGACCTAGGCCTGGCCCTGAATATGTGTATGTGTAGCTTTCTCTTTCTTTTTTCTTTTTATTTTTTGTGGCTCTCATCCAGGCCCCACAAACTAGACAGGTTTGCTGTCTGGGCTGGAGGTGTGACCTCTAGAATGACAGTTGTGTCTGTCCGTTGCTCCAGCGATGCTGACAGGACCAGCACATAGTAGGCACTCTGTAAATATTTGTTACTGCAAGGCA